GATTAACTAGTTAAAATGAACGCAATTTTCTTAACTAAATTAAAGATTTTTGCATTTTCAAAACACCCCAATCCAAATTGTAATGTTAAGCAGATCAAACAGGCTAAACATCAGGTCATGACGATGAATGAGTCCTCTATCCCTAACTAATATGTGGTATGTCCTCCTCGTGCTGCAATCAGAGCATCCTTTCTGCAGGGCCCTGGCAATGAGACGAGTGACTTAATACGCAAAATAAGGTCCCACTCCTCAATCAGGAGAGCGTGCTTGAGTGCAAAATGAGGTAGGGGATCTCTGTCACGAACCACCCTATCAATCTCATCTCACTTGTACTCTATAAGAGCCTGATAAGGTGACTTTGATGCATATTGTAGCTGTTCCACACATAACCTGCCTTAAGGAAATCGTGGACAATGCAGCTTCCATGCGCAGGAGCATGATTATGCTGCAGCTGGAAGTTTTTCCAGCACCCTTTTTGCAAGCGGTGATAGTTGTTGGTTTAAAAAGTTACTGTACCTCTCACCACTGACATCACGATTGAGACTCACCGATTCACTAAAGGGGCGCCCCCCTTGGTGAATATCTACTAAACATGAACAGAACCACTTCCTTGGGCTAATTTTGATAACTAATCAGTTTTTGAGCAAAATGGCTGTAATCGGGAGACATAAACAATTTCGACTAAATGTTATTATTGTAAAAATTATACCAAAGATTAAAATGTGTAAAATTTTCCATATTAATGAGCAACAGTGTACTTAAAGAGATCGGAAAAAAGATGGGAGCTTGTTTCAACAATTATTGTTTGCTCTCAGCATTACATATTATACCCTTTTTCAAAACGTTCAATATTTCTAACTTCCTTTCATCGCAATTCTGCAATTCAACGCAACTCTTCTGACAATAAATGATTTAAACGCAGACATTTCTGCATTTGAAGTATTCAATTAACCCTTTCACGATGAGAGGCTCCATATGGAGCCCTATTATGTAATACCTTTCAGGACGATAGGCTCCTTTTGGCACCATTATTTTTATTTATATACATCAATGAAATGGCAATATCTCCACTTTTATTAAGTATTTTTACACCAAATTTTAACAAGTTGTTTTAATGAGATGATCCTAACAAAAAATTGTATTTCAGTAATAAAATTCAAGGTATAGGTCACAGGGCGTAGGTAATTTGCAGTTTTCCCCTAAAAACCGCTCTTACTTATCCGTCACCAGGGCCAACATTTTCCTCTTATATTCACGTCGGGAAAGGGTTAATTCTTTTCTTTGAATAGGTATCTCATGTTTTCAGAAAAATTATATATTGGCAATGAATTGACGAGTCTTCGGCTTTTGGCAATATACAATATATTTTATCATATGAATGTCAAACTTGCAAGTGTGTGATCGGTCAAAACCGGATCACATGTCATGACAGATAAGGTGGTATTCACTGGCTATGCTTATAAGGCTTGCCAAAGGGGACATGTCATTAAGAGGCCATTCTCTGACTTAGTCATTTTTTCAAAAGTGTGAAAATAAAAAAATTCATGAAAAGTTCTTAAAATATTCTGAATAACAAGTTGAATATATATATTTAATGATGGCACAAGCAAAAGTCTGAAAATTAACATGAAATGAAGGGTTTTGACAGATGCAAAAGATGGTAGATTTGTGATGAAGAAATAGAGGTTTTTGCAGTAACAACACAATTACATCGAAGCTATCCGTTATGAGAGGCTGAGGACTAAACTTGACATAATTTTCAATCTCAGATTATCAGTAGTATCTAACTTAAGCCGGACAGCCACTCAAAATGTATATGGAGGCCATGAGATTCATTTTTCTCAATTGAAGTCACTATTTCTGTTTTTAGCTTCATAGGATAGGAGGTACATGAACATGCTAAATTTACCTAGATCACAAGCCTTACCACAAATATAAAGTATATAGGAATAGAGTTTATATAAATGTGAAAACCTTAAACTTCCCATTTTATTGGGCATGGAACTTGTGGACCATGTGTATTTCTAACTTCTTCACATGTGCATGGATCTAAAATTGTGGCAGCCATCTTGGATTTGTCATATTATGTGGACATGGTTTTGGTTGTGCTGAATTTGTTTCAAAATAACATTTCTTGTATACCTTCGATAAGTGAGATAGGCATTTGAAATTAAATACAGATAGTATACTTGACATTTAATGCAGTAAACAGTAATACAATTCATTCTTACATAATAAGTGAGTCTAGACAAAAAGTTGTTATTGTTTAACTGGGCATAAATTACACTCATTGGCCTTGGTTTTCTTTATTGGCTTGCATAAAATGTTGTTCTATTTATTCAGAAAAGGAGTATAGTTCAATATACAATATACACATTCAATCCATCCTCTTGTAGAAATGAATCTCATATTATTTCATCTCAAATATAGAACACAAAAATATAATAAAAAAACAAGTTTCTATTAATTGCAAAAGTTAGCTTCTATGTCATGACTGAGTTTGGGTTCCGCTTCTAGGGAAAAAATATCCATCTGAAAATATCGTATTGACCATTGCTATACACTCCATATTTAATCCTCCCAGTAAATAACATTGATATACAGTATACAAGTATATATGACATCGAGGATCTGGGGTTTGGGTAATGTGAGACATGAGACCACTTGTCTTTTTGAATCTCATATTCAATATTCTTTCTTTAAACCCTCATATTTAATATTTTTGGAGTGGTAATTCAATTATGTACCTATTTTTTATTCTTTATCCCATAGTTGAACTCTGTTCCGCTCTGTTAGGTAACATGAAAACATATTTATGATATTTTGCAAATGCGTGGAAAAAGTGATATCTGTGGAATACGGAAAATATTTCACAGATATCACCTTTTGGCAGGGATTTGAAAACTACCACCAATATGATGTGTTTTGTTACATAGTGATTTCATGACATCACGGGGATGAATGAATGAATGGATGTTGTTTTGATATGCATTGTTTAGTTTTAGAGGTGAACTATGGGAAAAATAGAACATCCTATGAATTTTCGTGATATTGTGTTAATCCAAATATTGATATTAATATCTGCGCTAATTCGCTATGCTAACTTGGCAAGATATTGATATCAACTCGGAGATAAAGATAAAATCATTTAAAATCATATGATATCCTATACATATCCTTTACTGTGCCACAACTTTCTCATATGTTATATATTTTGGCACCGGCCATCATTTATTTTCCTTGAATTCATGCTTTTGTTCCTCGTTTTAGAAATGAGAGGAAATCTTTGATTTTCCTTGTATTTAAGTTGCTTAAATGTTGCCCTGTGATGTTGATAAAAGTCAATAGTAATCCATTACAGTCACAGTTGAAATGTACCCATTGCTAGCCCAGAACCTACCAAAATAGCATTTGCATTTTCTCAATATTGCCCTAAGTGCTTTTCCATGAAAATAATTTTCATCGTATATTTTCTTCAGTATTTCATATATTACATTTTAATATATTTAAATTGGTTAATTTTCATATACTATTTACTTAGACAACAATAAATAAAGAATTTTTTGTAAAAACACCAAAAATGGTATATGATCTTTAAATGACTGTTGTGTGAACATCAAAGGTCAAAATTCGCTGAAATTGTATTTTTTATAAAGCACAAATGATTTTTCTTCAATATGATATGCATTATTATCAGATATCTTTGGGGGCTAAAAAGGGCCCTTAATGACACCCTAGACAACCGGTGCAAATTTAACGATATTCACCTGTCTCGGAAATTTTCGAAATACATTTATTTCTAGGTTTTAACTTAGTATAGAAATGTTATTTATCACTGAGTAAAACGTGTACGTGTACTTTTGAGGATATTGAACTTGACAGTTGTATAATCAAACAAATATTTAATTTGCCTATTTTGAGAAATGTATGTGACACTCACAACATGATTATGATACTTTTCGTCGGGAAATATCATCTCGAGGAATAAACACTTTAAACATTTGCATATCACTCTTTTAAAACTAGCCTATATTCTGTTTCTCATTTATATACTATTTAATGGATGTAATGAATCATATTAAGGACAACATTTTCAAAGCTATTTTGTTACTCTAATCAGTTTGAAAAATATGTAAGATTTGTCGTTCAGTGTAAATGATAATACATTCTCTTAATCCCTAGGTGCTCGCCTTTACCTTGGTATTATAGATAAAAATATTTTCTAGCTTTTAAAGCAAAAATAAATGCACTGACATCTACATTGAAATATTATTATATGTAAGAAATGTTCAATAACAAAGTAATGCCCACTTTATCGGTACTTTTCATACTTGTTACTTCATTTGTGTACTAGAATATAAACTATGGAATAGTCGTGATGCTTAGCAAATATTAGAATCCATGCAATCATATAAATGATACTGCTTCGAGTAGTTTTCAAAACATTGTAAATATTATTACTACTCGCACATTTGTATTCCTTTTCTAATTACCATTTTTCTATTTTATATGCGTAGACTAATGTCTATTTTGTCTTATATTTAATTATATACACCCTCATGAAGTTATTTTTTAAAATAAAGATACAACAAACAATATGTTTGAGATACTGAGCCCAGGGTAACATCTGGTCAAACAAATAAATGCCGTAGATTTCACGAAATGCCATATCTTGATTTCTTGAACTTGTTTTTTGTTAAAGAATGCCATCAAAATGGAGACTTTTGTTTGAGTTGTTGGGTTTTAATATTGACTTCGATTAGTTCGAAGTAGCCCCAATGCACACATTTGCTTTCTCAATGATGCTTTAAGTGCTGTATGTTTCTGCGTATCCTTTAATCAATTCTTTGAAAAACCCTCGTAATAAAGAGTTGTTTAATTATTGCAATATCATTTTTACATGCGATTTGGTAATGTCAGGTAAGTTAAGTGATGTATTCAAAAAATAATTACAATTGTATAACAACCGTGATAACACTCCTCCCGACACATTTTTTACGATGCAATTCTGCAATCTGAGCCTTTCTGAGGTAAAGAGAGTATCAAAAATAAAAAAACAACCTTACAAAGGGTTTGCAATCAAAATAAACTGTATGCTGTATTCATATATTTACATGCATTAAGGTGTTCACTTTAGATCGCACACGACGGGTGTTGAGATATAACCAAAGATACCCTGAATACTTAGAGGCCTACCAGAAGGCAAGGGAGGAAGGAACACGGGAGGTCTACCATACTCGAGTTATGATCGTTGGGCAATACGGAGTGGGGAAAACTAGCCTGAAGAAGCGTCTCTTGGATGAAGGTTTTACTAAAGATTACAATTCGACAGATGGTATACAGGTTGACCCATCAGCTTGTTATATTGACATCAGCAATTCAGTCATATGGAAAACTAAAGCAAAAGGTGAGTCAATCACACCTTAATTTTTTTTGTATATATTACTTTCTAATATATTCTTTTCGAATTTAACAATACCACTGTATCACAATAAGTAATGAATTTAAATGTTCATTTTTGAAAAAAAGATTTGATAAGTTGATCACAACTTACTATTCACATCCTATTTTAAAGCGTTTACTGATCCTTATAGTTTTCATCATTAAAAAATTAGCATTGGGCATATTCCATAAAAACTTATTTTCTGTAAATATTTAAAAGCGTTTGCTTATAGAAAAGTGATTAGATGAAGAGGAGACATTCAAAAATAACGGACATCTTAGTAATGTTCATGATCACTTAATGCGGCGCTTTTTCACGCTATATAGCTATATTCTTTTTATTTAATCAGCTGTAATTTTCCAATTTTTAGCACAATACACAATCCGATTTAAACGCCCTTGGTGAACATAACCATTTTTCACAACTAACTAAGTTTCAGTTAAAATGATTTTCAGGGTTCACATTGAAGGAAGATACCGATAACCCCCAGGATGTATATGACAGTGAAGTTGCCAAGAAATTATTGCATGCTGTCAAAGACAGAACATCTGGTATGTATCGGCCCAACCGCAATTAGATTCATCAAAAAGTTATAAACATCAAGACAATGGTCCTGTTTAAGAACCCCTATTCTTACTTTTGGAAAATTATTCTACCAATACTCTCTCGGCCATATGAATCTATTTGTTAAGACCCGATAAACTTGAGTTGTTTGAGAAAATGAGGATTTCAGCATGGGTGTATTGACTTAACATGGGGATAATTGACTTTAAACCTGCATACCTTCAATGATGATATTTCTCAATAGGAAGAATAGGGGTTCCTAAACTAAGGCTATTTAAAAATGTTAGTTAACTCTGAATACAAACCGTCTCAATTCAGTGTCAATTAGTATAACATAACTTCTAGGGTTAATGTGTACATAACATCAAGTGAATACTTCTTGCACATTTTGTTATATTTTAGGGAAACATGTTAGAGATAGCAGTACAGGTGCTACTTGTACTATTCCTCCAGATCGCATACCAGATACAATAAAAAGCAAGTTTTTTAGTTTAGAAGATGGTAAAAATCAGGTAAGTTCGGATGACCTTTATGAATCAAGCTTAATTTCAATTACTTTTTAGTAACTTAATTATTGAAAAATAGTCATTTCTTGAATGTATGTAAACCTCACTTGCTTCCACTTCGTTAAAGTCCCCATATAAAGTTTAAACCACTTTGGTTTATATTGTAGTCTTACCCAATGGTATCAAAGTGTGATATGTGAAACTTTCAAAAAGTGGTTTTTGAAGGACTTTTTGTTCAAAAATCAATGAATTTATTTAAAACTTTTAGAGGTCACAGGTATCTTTTAGTGAGCCACTATTCATACCAATGCATAGCATTCATCCTCACATGTTTTTGCCGAAAATATTAAGAAAATCGGTTCACAAATAAGCGAGAAATGATCAGTGCATGAAAATGGTTCAGAGAAAAATGCATTATTTTCAAAATTTTAGTTCTCATAGAAACCAATGGTACAATAATATCTAAAACATAATGTATTCTCCCTTTTAAGCTGGTTAGACAATCAACATTGGTGTATTATTGAAGTTAAGCATCTTAAGAAAAGATTGCCTTAGAAAAAAAATCATTTTCTTGAAAAAGTTTTTGCCACCTGCTGAGTGAGTCATAATGACATCACTACTGTTGCAAAATATTTTTGATATGCTAAAACATTGAAGTGGCCAATTAAATATAGCATATATTATTGAAATAGTGTGCCCTTTGTTCAATGTCTGCAATGGTGTTCAAAAGATAATCTCTTTTGAAATGAATGTCGCAATATTTGCTGAATAAAGAATTTCAACTTATTTTGAAAAATGGCGGGAAATTTGAATATTTGAGAACTTTTTATTCAATTTTTTTTTCAAAAATCTCTAAAATAACTTTTTAAGTCATGACAAATATTAAATGAAGGATAAAAAAATACTTTCAAACTTTACCCGGGGACTTTAACTGTAATGTGTGACGGTCATTTTCATTCCTATTATTTCACATTCCAGGAGGAAAAGCAGCTGAAATTATCCTTTTGGGACTTTGGTGGACAACACGTTTTCTACACAACGCACCAAACGTTCTTAACGGACAGAGCCATCTATCTGTTGGTTGTAGATCTGACTAAGGACCTAGATGAGAAAGTTGATACAATTAGACAATCACGCCGTGGACCAAAACCTGATAGTGCTGCCCCTGAGAAGGTCAAAGGTGGGTACACGAACGATGTGCAGCATCAACTTACTGATTGTGCAGTGAATTTGAATCTCATAACTCATATTTAATACAATTTTATCAAAACAGTTATCTGTGTCAAGTTGCCTTGAGGTGTATAAAAATAGAAAGGGAAATATTGTATCAAAATGCACGTATAACGATTATTCAAAATCACAATTAACACTTATCATGCATTGAAGAACCTTAACAAAATGAAATGTACAGGGTGTTCAAAAAAACGCAACCCAAGGAAATCGCTATATCTTGGAAAATAATCATCCAATTATGTTCATATTTTCGGGAAAGAAAGAAGAGACTGTGTATGTATAGCCCCTGTTGTTAGTAAGTTGTAAAACATGATGTCTTGGACACTTGGTCAAAAGACAGTTGTACTAGCAAAATACGAAAAATGTGAATGGAAAATCACTATATCTTGGAAAATGCTAATTCAATTATGTTTATTTTTTCAGGAAAAGAAAGAAGAGACTGTGTATGTATAGCTCCTGTTGTCGGTAAATTGTAAAACATGATGCCTTGGACACCTACTCAAATGACAGTTGTTCTAGGAAAACATGAAAACGCAGGCAGTCAGAGGTGACTGCCACAGCAATAAAACCAAATGACTTTCTAACCATGGTGTTTTGGCACTTCAGATTTGGCACAAATTATCCTCATTCAATGTGTGGTGATTTTTTGGAGTTTCATCAAAATCACTCATGGGACTTTACAGTCATGGTCAAAATGCCTTCTTAAGTCTCCCTGAACCAGGGCGTTTGACTGCGATTTGAAACCATTTCAACCATGACTGTAAAGTCCCTGAAGTGATTTTGATTTCACTCTACAGATATACCATACTGTGAATGAAGATGAGTTGTGCCAAATTTGAAGAGCCAAAACACTATGGTTAGAAAGTTATTTAATTTTTTTGAGGTTGCAGTCACCCCTGACTGCGTTTCTCGTATTTTCCTAGTGCAACTGTCTTTTGAGCAGGTGTCCAAGGCATCATGTTTTACAACTAACCATTTACAGGAGCTATGCATACACAGTCTCTTCTTTATTTTCTGAAAATTTGAACATAATTGAACTAGTGTTTTTCAAGATAATATAGCGATTTCTTTGGGTTGCGTTTTTTTGAACACCCTGTACATGTATGGCCATTTTTACAAGAATCAGAAGCCCTAACCAAACCCGTCTGGCCCAGTTATCTACTCCCGTACTCGTAGATCTACGACGTCAGGATCAGTAGATAACTGGGCTAGACAGGTTTGGTTACAGAAGCCCTAACGTTGTATGGGCGTTTTTTGAAAACCTTTTAAAAACGAGCATGAGTCGTCAAAAAGGGGTAGATTTAAATATTTTAAATTAGTTTTCACAATATATTCTGCACTCAGTAAGCGGCCTAGCCAGGAAGAAAAAGCAACGGTGCGAAAAATCTCTCCGAACCTGCTTAAAAAGCGACGGCTGCCTCATCCTGGCTACGCTAGACAGTAATGTAATGTTCTCACAAAGTATTGATGCTCACCAGTCACGTGTACAGTCGTTGAATGTCACTTTTAACCTTTAGTCACGTACTGAACATAAACCAATCAGGGAGTGAGGAAGAATTGACAGTGATATGATAATGAAAAAAGTACCTAACGGTATTGATATGTTAACGTTTACTTTTCTTGTCGTTATTAGTACAATGGGAAATCATTTCTATTGAACAACAATTAAACGGTATTATTGTTGGTGGATAATCACTATGAACACTCTAGATGTTTTAGGCAATTTTAATGCCTGAGAATCATTTTCTCGAGTGTTTCGTCCACATCCTAAATTATAAGAACACAAATGCACCTTAAAAAGGGACTTTTAACACGCAACCCCATTTTTGGCTCACACAGTGAGCCTATGGGATTCACCAGGCGTCCGTCCGTCCGTTGGTCCGTCCGTCCATCCGTCCGTCAACATTGGCCGCACAAATTAAAACTGCTATTCGGATTGAGTTATATCCACAGTCATTTTATGCATATCCATAATGCCTATTTGACCTATCATCGCCATTTCCCAAGTTCGCCCGGTTTCCGAGAAATTGCTGATTTTGACGTCAAAAAGTCAAATTTTCTGTAAGGGACAATTTACGATAATTGATATTTCAAAAAATACAAAATTCGAAAATTAAAGTATTCATATGGCGATGTTTTTTTCTTGAATTGCAGAGGAAACACATTATATTTTATAAATTCGTAAGCGGCATCATTGGAACTATATTGGTATTTCGTAACCTGAGCGATTTTCAAAGGAATAAAAAATTAACATATTCTCGTTTATCGTTCAATAAGTCTGGTTTAATTTCAAATAAGATATTATTTATCACATTTGTGCGTGTCAAACAAACAATAAACATGTTTCCTTGGATATTAGTATTGGATTGTGAAGATAAACATGTAAATAGAGTCAACGTTATCGTTTGAAATTATTAGTCGCAAATTATTTTGAACGACCCCTATGTCAAAAGCGATAACTTAAGAAATGGACAAGATACGTTCATACACTTTTACATGTACAGTCCTTCTCCGATGCCCTCACTATAGGACAAAGTTTGATGCTTCATTTAATATGGTTTTTTCAGAAAAGGGTGTCTAATAATCATGAATTCTCAAATACATACCTGTTTTGGAGGATACATTTTTATTAGACTCCATTGATCATTCCAAGAGTACCCCTTTTATTATGACATGGCCTACTTTATAACATCATACATTATAAATAATGTCGAAAAGTAAAATATTTATTCATTTTCACTCTTTTATATACTTTAAGGTATTTTATTCCTTTCGCCTTCTTTAATCATATTTGTTAAGTCTTTCGTTTAAAAGTTTAATTTTGAAAGTGAATGGACCGGGTCCTATTATCACATGGTGTGTATCAAATTAAGCGTGACAGGTGAACACGCATCTAAAAGAGCTTTTTCGAAATGACCATCATGATTTTAAGTTACTGGGGTTATCTCTTTTTCCAAATAACACGCACTCACATTTTTTGAAGTCTTTCTTTATATTACCCAGTACAGGCCCTTAGCCAGGCTGTGTATGTGGGGGGATTGGGGACTCCTACGATCTTGAACGACTTTCTTTCTTTTTGAATTTCAAGATTTGACCTTCGGTGACCTTTCAAGGGCAAAAAAGGTCAAAAAGATCTTTTTTCAACTTGCTTCAAATTGACCATTTTTTCGAATCATCTACAAGTTATCAGAAGTTCAAATCTGACTTTAGATTTGATATTCGACCTTAATTGACCTTCTCAAGGTCAAAAAGGGTCAAAAAGGTATTTTTAAACTTGCTTCAAATTGACCAATTCTTATTTCAAAATTATCTAGAAGTTCTCAAAAGTTCAAATCTGACTATAGATTTGACCTTTAATGACATTTTCAAGGTCAAAAAAATATTTGACCTTCTAAAGGTCAAAAAGGTCTGTCATGGGAATTTTTAATGTGTGGACAGGGGGTGGGTTCAAGCCCCCCCCCTTTACTAAAATCTGGCTACAGGTATATTGCTCATATTGCATGTGAAGTATTAAAGATTGCAATGGATGCAATCATTTTCATTGGAATCGATATAAAAGTATTCTGGTACTTACAATGCACTAAGATGTGCAAGCAACATTTACCATTTCGGGTAAAGGCCAAACATTCATCATAGGGAACGACAAACGGCATTCAAAATATAATATCATGAAAAAACACGCAGCGTGAACAATGAGGGAATAAGAAACATCATTCAAAGTTGTATGGTTATGTGTCGGTCATGGAAATAAAAAAGAAAGCACAGCATGTTGGATAGAAATGTAAAGCATCGCTTTTCCCACAAAGTCTTAAGACTGTAAGATGATCATATGTGAAACTGAGAATGAAATATATTGTTTCTTGGTTTTGGCAAAGACTCATTCGTTGCTGTAATCTAAATATAAACATAAAATACGAATACAACTAACTTTTGATGGTACGTTTATATTTCACATAATTTTAAAGTCATTTTGTATCCTCCAACACATGCTTAATTAAGTTTTACAAAGACAATTCAAATAATTCAAAAATTAAATAATGATGATCTAAACACTTTTATTAAGTACTGTCATTTCTCAAAATAATGATATAAAAATATTTTTCCCAAAGATGATATTTTAATGTTTGGAGAATACAAAATATTGGACAGCCTAATCTAGACAACTTGAATTCACGGCAGAAATACCTACACTCAATCATATATCTCCATTGTCTGCAATCGAAAATATGTTACCAAAATGTACCTTCTGGCATAGCTTTCACCAAAATAATGCATCAATAATGTATATTAATATGTCCGATGTGTTGGAGGATACAAATATTTGACAAATCGTATACATATAGTAAAACATACTTAATTATGTGACTAAGACAAATCAAACATCCCGCTTTCAAGAGTTAGTAGCACATACATTTTATTAACATGCTCAAAAATATCAACGCAATCGATACATTTTAGGTTAAGAAATCCGAGTTTATATTTGCCAAAAGAATAAAATATTTCTTAATTGTCAAAAATTCCATCATTAAAGTGATATTTTAAAAAAAGATAAGCAATGTTCCAAACAGGTACCTTGTGGTAATGATTGCTTAAAGTCTGGTCAACAAAAAATAACACATTGCATGTCCATAAAATCTACATATATGTCGCAGTCTCTAGTACAACTCCAGATTTTTAAAATATCAATTATCGTAAATTGTCCCGTAAATACCAGACACTTTGTTGAAGTAGAATTTTCAAATAACTTGTAGTAGTTGCTGTATATGCAACTTATGTCCTCTGAAGATTTCAAAGCTCTTGGAATTACCGTTTTTGGTGTTTACTCTATAAAATTTGACAAAAAGTAGGACTTATCATTTTCAGGAAACTTTTCTTATGTATAAAGTCAATGGCAGGTTTTGTGATTGACAAGTTTCTCAAAGTTTGCCTTATACTTGATCATTTCTTGCAATGAATTACATCATAACTAGATTTAAGCATTCCCTACATATTGTTCAATATATGTCAGCATCAATTTTTACCGTTTTTGAGATATTTGACGTCAAAAAACAGTAAAAATAAGTTATTTTTCAACTTCAATTTGACCAAATTTTTTTTGAAAATCATCTACAAGTTACCAGGAGTTCAAATCCGACTTTAGTTTTAGGATTTGACCTTTCCTTGACCTTCAGTGACCTTTGAAAGGTCAAAAAGTTGATTTTTGGATGTTTTTGGTCAGCTTAATCACAAAAGACCTTACTGAGCTCTCAATAAATAAAATTTTCAAGGTCAAAGGTCATCAAACTAGGTCACACAACTGTGCTGTCTAAGTTTCACAAAGTTCGACACTACAAATCCAAATCAATATTTTTGTTTGAAAGTCAGGATATACATTCCTCTGAAGGTTCCAAACTGTGTGAGCACAGGACCGTGGGTCCTATTTTAATAGATATGTAACACCCCAGTCACATTTCCTACGGCGACCTTGCGGTCTATCATTTCTGCGGCCTGTAACATTTCTACGCTCGGCCTGGAATTTCTGCGCTCTCATACTTTTGCAGTCACATTTCCCACGGCAGCCGCACGGTAAATTTTAAATTTCTGTTGATAAATAATACTTTTTTCATTTTATTTACATCGGGACAATTTATAAATGTTATTCATAGTGCTAGGATGTTATATCAAATTAAAAGTGATCGTAAAACATGGACAAATAATGATTCAATCTTGTTGAGCCAGTTGATTTCTACGGGGACCTCAGAAATGAACAAATATTATAACTCCGAGTTATAATTTCTACGGCGACCCTGCGGCCTGTAAAAACTGAATACGCCGTACGGAGGCCGCAAGGCGAGCGTAGTTTTTCTACGCTCGCCGCAGAAATATACTGATTTAATTGATCTGCGGTCGACGCACGGCCTCCGTACGACAGATGTGACTGCTCGCCGCAGAATTTCTGCGCTCTCATACTTTTGCAGTCACATTTCCCACGGCAGCCGCAAGGTGAATTTTAAATTTCTGTTGATAAATAATACTTTTTTCATTTTATTTACATCGGGACAATTTATAAATGTTATTCATAGTGCTAGGATGTAATATCAAATGAAAAGTGATCGTGAAACATTGACAAATAATGATTCAATCTTGTTGAGCCAGTTGATTTCTACGGGGACCTCAGAAATGAACAAATATTATAACTCCGAGTTATAATTCCACGCCTTCCCTGCGGCCTGTAAAAATCTGCATTCGCCGTACGGAGGCCGCAAGGCGAGCGTAGTTTTTCTACGCTCGCCGCAGAAATTCACCGATTTAATTGATCTGCGGTCGACTTGCGGCCGCCGTGCGACAAATGTGACTGGGGTGTTAGAGATAAAATCCAGTACTATTCTAATGATAATGGACGATAATATTTCACATCCACTCATTTTACTTTTTAAGACTACCTTGATTACTGGTTGAATTCAATCCACACTCATGCTGGGAAGTCATCTCCTGAAACCCAATCACTGAGCCCCCCTGTCATCATAGTCGGGACACATAAAGATGCTGTGGTAAGGCCCCACATAAAGTTTGAAGGGAGTATAAGAAACATATAGCTTATTCATTTCATTTTTGGCCCACACTACTCCTTTTTATAGCTAGTACCCAACATTCCAAAAACGCCATACTTCATACAAGATAAAGAAATGAAATTGTTTGTGTTAGTTCCTCTGTAAATGTATGTATCATTTTTTCATTATACATTATTTTCAAAAATCTCTTCAATCGCCCAAATGCATAATAGAAGAGTAGAGTACAAGAAAAACAAGAGTATAAGATATTGGAAAGAATGATATTGGTAGATCGAGTATTAATGTTGCTTTCAATTTTGTAACCCCTTGTTTCTCTAATTCTAGCTTTAAACCACTTTGGTTTATGTTCTAGTCTTATCCAATTTTATCAGAATGAGATAATTGTTTTTCTATCATTATTTTTGTTATCATTTGTACCTACGTTTAGTTCAAAATGCTACAATTCAATAGAAACATACAGGTATGTGAAATGGTAGTAAAATACTTGAATTCTGAAAGATTTAACTGATTCGTTTTTAGGCATTCTGGGTTAATGTTAAGGCGGCCATTTTGGATTTTCCGTCTTTAAATCTTATCTGTCAAGGCTTGTCTACATGTTTCCAACCAAACCGTTTGAGGGATTCATTTGAAATTCTCAGGGATGTTTCTACCTATGAAAGTTTAGAACTTATCCCTTTTTCGACATTCTGGATAAATGTTAAGACGGTCATTTTGGATTTTCCGTCCAAAAATCTTGTCTGTCAAGGCTTGTCTACAGGTTTCCAGCCAAACCGTTTGAGGGATTCATTTGAAATTCTCAGGGATGTTTCTACCTATGAAAGTTTAGAACTTATCCCTTTTCGACATTCTGGATAAATGTTAAGACGGTCATTTTGGATTTTCCGTCCAAAAATCTTGTCTGTCAAAGCTTGTCTACCGTTTGAGGGATTCAGGGATGGTTCTACCTATGAAAGTTTATAACTCATTAGTTTTTCGGCATTCTGGGTAAATGTTAAGGTGGCCATTTTGGATTTTCCGTCCTAAAATCTTGTCTGATAAATGTTAAGGTGGCCATTTTGGATTTTCCGTCCTAAGATTTTGTCTGTCGAGGCTTGTCTACAGTTTCCAGCCAAACCGTTTGACGGATGCATTTGAAATTTTTAGGGATGTTTCTACCTATGAAAGTTTAGAACTGATTCGTTTTTCGGCATTCTGGGTAAAATTTAAGGTGGCCATTTTGAATTTTAAGTCCTAAATCATGTCTGTCAAGGCTTGTCTACAGGTTTCCAGTCAAACCGTTTGACGGATGCATTTGAAATTTTCAGGGATGTTTCTACCTATGAAAGTTCAGAACTGATTAGTTTTCTCAGCATTCTGGGTATATGTTAAGGCAGCCATTTTGGATTTTTCGTCCTAAAATCTTGTCTGTCAAGGCTAGTCTACAAGTTTGATAAGTTTTTTGGCAGTCTGGGTAAATGTTAAGGTGGCCATTTTGAATTTTCCATCCCAAAAAGTGTATTCTGTTCAAGGGTGCGATTCTATTCACCCTGTGGCTTGTTTGCTGTTATATTGGCGTTCAAAATTCGAAGAACCCAAAATTTAACAACCTTTTTAAAAAAACTAAAGTTTCTCACATTTTAAAGACGTGTCAGATACTATTTAAATGTATTTCAATTTAATTTCCAGGAACCATTTATAGTTGTAAATCCATGGGCGATCAAAACAAAGTTAATATTTTGGGGTAATGGAAACTCAACGCGCTGTCAAATTCATTTATGATTGTAAAATTGCGACACTATTCATCTGCAATTTATTTTCATTTTAGACTGACCAGTACATAGACGACTATTTTCACAAGATTGTAAATAGCCTACATGACAAGGTCTACTTTCATCACGTTCACAAAACATACATTGCAGTTGATAACAAATCCGATGACGACCATGAGTTGAACAAACTCAAGGAGACAATCGTGCAGCTAGCAGAAGGTCAAAGATTCTGGGGGCAGGAAGTACCTATTAAATGGTTGCTTCTTGAGAAAAATCTTCGTGGATTAAAAACAAAATCCCAAGATCGAGAGCCAGTGCATTTTCTTAAGTTTGAAGATGTCAAAGCAATTGGTTTTAAAGAACGAATGGACGAGGCATCAGTTGTAGCTTGTCTACAATTTTATCACTCAGTTGGAGACATGATTTTTTTCAATGAAATCGACCTCCGTAATCTAGTAATCCTTGATCCTCAGTGGCTAATCGATGTATTCAAGAGTATTATAACAGTTCCCGAGTTCCATCGAGACTCGAGAGGTCGGAACATCTTTGGCAGCATCGTCTGGGAGAAACTGGACAAAGATGGTGTGCTTCAGGAAGAATTTATTGAAACCGTGTGGAAGAAGCTTTACGCTGATATATCGATTCATAGCGACGTAATGATCGAACTCATGCAGCGTTTTGACTTGATCTGTCCATTTGAAAATAACCAGGAATGTAATCAAGGGAAAAGACTATTCTTTGTGCCTTGTTTGCTTCCCAAGCCAGAGCCCGGTGATTTCATTAGAGACAAACCATTAGTTGGTGGCACGCTTTTCTACAAATTCACCTTTCTCCCCAAAGGGCTCTTTCATAGGCTAGTCGCCAAAATCTGCCTGAAAAATATATGGCCTTTATATGGCGCTGTGTTCTTTGATTACGCTAGGTTTGAAGTTGGTGATGGATGTTGTGTATTAACACTTTTAGCTGAGGACAATCACCTAGAGTTGAAAATCCACCAAACATTGGAAGAAAGAACGGATCGGGGGGACAACCTTATGGGCATCAAAATCCGTGAGGAAATCGAGGTAATACTGATGACAACCATAAAGAACTATTGTCCAAATGTCGACCCTGAGATATCTGTAAGGTGCATATGTCCGAATGTGGAAGAGGAAAAGCGAACTTTAGTGCCTATTTCAGAAAAGGATATTAATCGTGGTCACAAACAATGTAAATCTCACCACCATTCGATAAAACTGGATCAATATAAATTATGGTATAGCACTGCACACACGGTAGGCATATTTTTGTAAAGTGAGTTTGAGATTAACGTAAAGGTCTACAAAATCGTATTCAACAGTTTATGATAAAAATGACATGCTAATTTTAGGATAAAACCCTTGCGGTGGCGAGTTTGGCGTTTGTTCGCCAGTATATGTCACCACCAAGAGCTGTTTTACATTTCATAGAGAGGGGGCGTGGTGTAGCTACTGTAATGGGAGGGGGAATTGCTAATGGGGCAGTGACTTAAGGCGAAGTGCTAAATTTCTAGCATGACCCAGCAATGAGAATGAAAAAAAGAACAATTAAACAAATAAAACAAAATGAAAATTTTCATACTCTTACAGTAAGCAAAACAACATTTGATGAAGAATGTGTAAATTCAACAATTTTATGCATCATCACATGGCATCGTTTATCGCATCAATGGTTGTGTTCGACCACTTAATTTCTATGCAGATCGAATAATATACAGGGTGGGCCAAAAAAAACAATACCCAACTTCAAATCATGATAAAAATAGTTACATTCGATATGGTACATTGACTTACATATCATTTTAAAGGTTATACAATTGCCAACAATTTGGTATACGAGGGTTGTCCCAGAAGTAATGCACTATATGCTCTAACTTTCTCTAATATTCTTCAATTCAGCTGAAATTTTGTGTCTATAACAATTGAAGTTTTATCTATTATATACTGAAGTTTCAGCATCCAACATTTATATTAAGTCTTAATATGGTTGCTATAACATCATGGGGGTAGGGGTGGGCGGGGCAGGTACCAATTTTTCTAATTATGAAAAGATCTAAAGTGTTATTTTATTAATATTTCTTTCTTTTAAATGGTCGAAATGTTTGGGAAATTGTTAAATTTATTCAGCATGGTGTTAACCAAGTACAAATAATGACATTTAGCACTGTGATGTCATAAAACCACATTTCAACAGTCACGAATTCAAATACAGTCACAGTCTAGAATTTGCAAAAATGGCTGCAATTCTCACCTGATAACAGAAGGCCTTGCGTTTGGTGGCCTGATTTCATACTTCACTTGGACTCACAGCCACGCAAAACAATGCTACCATGAAGAAAGTATATTAGGAGTATATACCAGATAGAACTAAAAATTATAGGGTTGCAGAAGAGATTTAAAAGAGACGATTTGACCCTGGATGACAACTGCAAACATAGGAGGCAAAAACTCCACAAGTCAAAGTTGAAGAAATTGCCGAGAGTGTTTGACCTGACAGGCATCAAAAGTACATAACATGCAAAGGGCAATATTTTGAGAAAATGTGAAATGGGATAATGTGCAATATACATTCATTAAATCTAGGATGTGCTCAGAGTAATTTAGTATCTAAAAAAGTATTTTTGAGCATACTTCTTATAGCTACACTAATGAAATGGCATTTGTTGATTAATCATTTCATATTTTCAATTTTTTATTCCTTTTGACGTGACTGTATAACCTGCCCCGCCCTACCCAAACACACCAACTTGATTTTATATTAGAATAATCAAAATGTTTCTAAGGAACATTTACTGAAAATTTCATAGAAAAATATCAATTATTGATAAAGTTAGAGCATATAGTGAATTACTTCTGGGACAACCCTCGTATAACACCATGTCATGAAATCAATAGTAAAGTTTTATTATACTTATTTGGGAGGCCGGGTTGCTATTTAAGGTCTCCAGATTTAAGGGAGAAAATAGTAAATCTGCGGAATTATGTTAATTTTTTATTTATAGAATATCATTCTTTTGTTAGGTGAATACATGCTTGGATATTGATATTTGCATTATTGTGTGACTAAATTTATTGTTTATGAATTTCAGTGTTGTTTTATAACATTTTACTCTTTATTTATTTTAACAATTCCTCAATATACCCCCACCCCCTCCCCTCTGCATCAACAATAAGCTTCAAGTGGAAGCGCAATCTATCAATAGCCTTATTGAGAGATTTCTGTTACAATTCATCTCAGCACTTAAGGATTCTGTTTCAGCTCATCAATGCTGTTTATTGGATGCTTTTGATTGTACCATTTCCTCGAGATGGCTCCATGTATGGTAATCAATCACATTAGCATCGGGGCTAGCAGTTGGGTGGCCAAGCATCGAGATCAATCAAATTGACACCTTGTTTGCAAAGAAATGCCAATGTCTCCTTTGATCTATGGTACGAGGCATTGCTTGTCCTAAAATCTGGATACCTTAAATAGCAACCCAGCCTCCAAAATAAGTATAATAAAACTTTACTATTGATTTCATGACATAGTGTTATATACCAAATTGTTTGAAATTGTATAACCTTTAAAATGATATGTAAATCAATGTACCATATTGAATGTAAATATTTTTATCATGATTTGAAGTTGGGTATTGTTTTTTTGGCCCACCCTGTATGTTTGTTGTCACTAATTTAAAGTTTAATGAATGATATTTGATCTACAAGTCACATAATTTTTTGGATAAAAACATGAATTACCTATCTTCGGCAATTTTAGGTAAATACGTATCGCAAACCCTACTTAGTAAAACACCGCTTAGTGCAATACAAACTACGAATAGGTATAGGTAAATGGGCAATTTACGCTAATCTTAAACTCCCTAATATATAGTATATTGTTTAGCACTTTTACGGTATTATAAAATACTTAATTAGCTGTTTTGAGATACGGATCATCTAGTCTTGCATTACTCCAGAATTATGGATAAATGCATACTTTATTTTCTTGAATTTCTTTCGTTTTTATATAAAACATAAAAATGCTAGTATTACTAAGCTTAATTCTAATTTTAAAGGATAGGTGAATGAAACTATTTTAAATCTATTTCGCGATATTTTTATGAAATGCTTGCAGAAATTACTTTTGCGATGTTATTTGAATTTTGCATTTTATTTCTAGGCTGAAACAAAATCAGCAAATACCAAGTCAGGCGAAAAGACAACAAAGCAAAACCGGGGTGAGTTGGACCGGGCATATCTTTCACATAGTCGTCTTTTGACTATTGGTAACTATTTAATTTAAAAACTTGATCTATAGCTATCATGATATATGAAATTCTAGCGGAATACAATATACAGTACTCAATTTTAGTACAAAATGTCCCTTTAATTCAGTTAAATTTATTACCCACACAAAGTTTCCTTGCAAAAAATATTTTTCGCGCTTTCAAGATACTGCAGAAACTCTCTTTAATGTGTGGAAATACGTGAACCACAAAAAGAATGAATTGTTGGTGATTTATATTCACACATGTCTGGTTCTATCGAAGACTTTAAATAAGGGCTGAAACTTTCATTCAAAGTCTAGAAACAAGACATGCGTGTATTAAATCTAAGAAATCGAGTCTTTGGGCAAAAGTCGTTTAATAACAGTAACCACCAGCAACAGAAAACCCTCGGTGTGTTTCTTTTCATAATATACCCTTACGTTTTGAACTTTTAAAAATGTCTTTCTTCAACATTGGCACACAAATACAAGATAAGTGCAAAGATAACTTAGGTTAGGAATTAAATTAGCTTTTGTTCATACTGGTTTGTTAATTAAATATAATTTGGTCATTCATTTTTTAATTGTTTGTTGTTTGTGTTGAACGCGATAGTGATACGAGGGTTGATGATTTTTGTTATCAAAAGTAGAATGTTTATATTGTTGTGATCATATATTATTAATTGTCAATCCCAGAAGGGCCTCCAGTGTTGTCAATTGTTCAGCAATTGTATTTTTATCTAACACGACGCCTTTAGTTAATCTTCTTAGTTTTATTATGTAACTCTTCTTTCTTGGAGAGACCGGGACAGACTGACTAAACTTAATTCTCCAGCTTACAAGCATGACCAAAGCTGTCTAATCTTAGCAAGGATATTAGTATGCATTGCGTAGTGATTGGTTAGTTATGAAAAAGGAGTTTCCTTATTTGGGCAAAGGGTTTGCAAAGCTATATTCTAGCACATTGATTGGAAGCTATTATAAAACAAGGGGTTAGACAAGGATTGCACAAGATTGAATCAGCAAAGGCGTAGGAATGCTATGTATTCTGCTCTAATTTATGACTAAAGATGCGTTAACTAAAAGCACAAATGCCAACATATAAAATCAATAATAGTCCAGCAACTTAATTATAAAAGCATATGACATTAGGTAACATTAGGTTATATTATTAGCTAACTAAGGCAACAATTTTAGCCTCCTTAAAAGTGCCTCGGTGAGTAAAACTTTATTCTCTTGCAATGTTCATAAAATGAAACCTTCAATCTTTACAACAAATGTTCTAAGATCATCCATGTGAAAAATGATGCCAAAAGAGTAAAAATTGATCGTAAACTGTTATCAACTGAGCAGAAATATACTGTTCAAGCTGTCTATTTATGAGATCGACTATTAAATTACCTACAAAGGACTTTATTTCAGGTAAATCAGCTGCTGGGAGTTCTGACCCCGAGGGTTCTAATCTAGAAGATACGGACAGTGGAGAAAATATAGATGATGAACACATTCATGTCCACACGGCTACTGCAGAGTTCTTTGAGAAATGGTCTAAAGATGAGGAAGTGGGTATTGTAGTCAAGGGCGTGGACAAAATTCAAGATCACATATACTGTATGAGTGCAAATGAGTCAATAACTGGCAAGAAGATTCGAATTCCTAATAGTAAAGAACGCCGTTATTGAGTTTAACGACGTTGAGCTAGAGTATTAAATTTGTCAAGACAATTTTGACTTAAGCAACCATCATAAAAATATAGTATGTAAAATGTAACATCAAATTGTAGCATAGTTAGGGGGTGGAAACGCGTAGAGTATTTTCGTGGACGTACACACAGGAAACAACATGGCAAAGATCGCCATCTATATTCAAAATTATGTCGGTTTAGTTTTATTTTTTTGTCGTCTGTGAACGTACTTTCAATACTTCCTTACCTGTAAATAGTAATACTATACTGCACATCGGGGAAACATTCAATGTAAGAAATTGTCACCAAAAGCTCCAGTTTTTCAGTAATGTGGGGTTAATCACGGAACATTTTTAAAAATTATTAAAAAAATATTTCTTTGGTTAATCCGACCTCTTAGAAAAACCGGATGGGTGGCTGTCAATTGATAACAATGGAATGTTTTCTAGAAGTATTGGGAACGTGGTGTCGAGCGTGTTTGCAGATGAGGAAACACTATAAAACACAGCATACCAAATAAAATTGCACCTACCTGATTTTCAAAAGGAAATACTCTACGCGTTATGAACCCATAATAGTATAATTCAAAACGTTGTTTTCAGATTTATACCAATGCCTCAATGCCAAGAGGGCGCTGTTTAATAATAAACAACTATGCCTTTGAACCAAAAATGCGGAATCGTGATGGCACAGAGCATGACGTAAAGAGACTTAAGCAACTATTCGAAAGATTTGAGTATACAGTAGTTGTGAAGAATGATCTTACTGCTGGAAAGATAAGGGAAACATTAACTGAGGAAAGTAGTCGAGATCATGCTGACTCTTTCGTTCTGGTGATTCTGTCTCATGGTACTGTAGATGCCGTCTATGGTGTAGATAAAGAAAAAGTACCATATAAGGAGATTTACAACTTCTTCAACGGAGAGAACTGCAAAAAACTAGCTGGAAAACCTAAAATTATTATCATCCAAGCGTGTCAAGGCAGTAGGTCGCTTTGTATCTTGCTTTACTTACATTGTAATAATAATTTGTAAAGGGTTTGTGTAGGAGCTCCTTGAATTAAAATATTTGTATATGAATATGGTAGCATTTACAATAAACAAATTTGGGTATATTCCACTCGTGCCAGTCAGATTCTCTTGAACTAGGTATCCCTGATTTATTAGAAAACACATACTTACGGTAGCCTTTTCCATTATTGAACAATTCTCGAATTATTATTTGAATATTTTCCAGAAAAGAAGGATAGTGGAGTTGTTACTGATGGCGAAGAAGATGAGAATGATGATAATGTAGATGTGTCTTCGATTGCGTCTTTCAAATCACTTGATTTATCGGATGATTCCACGGCACATACAGACGATGAAGAGGAAGACAGCCCCGGTGATACATCTCCAATCATGGCAGACTTTTTCATAGCAAGCGCTACAACACAAGGTATATTGGAAACCAATGCTGGGATTAACATAATATAATAATAATATTCCCAAACGTATCTGAATTGTTCCTAACAAAATATTCACAAATATGTTGCTAGAGGCAATACATTTGTTGATGATATTATTTCAGATTATGTGTCATGGCGGGTTACAGATTCAGGAACTTGGTTTATTCGGGCTTTGGTGAAAATCTTTAGAAAGCATGCGGGCACAAAAGACATCCTTAGAATGTCAACTATGGTAAGTAGGCAAGGGATTTTGTTTATAAAGTGAGAAAGCTTACCAATGGGCAATATATTAAAATAGTTTTATAGCGTCAGATTATACATGTATATTCAAATGAAATATATAATCGAGCAAATTAATCAAGTAATCCAAAATCGACCAGACCGTTATTATCTAAGCTAGTGACGACTTTAGTGAACTCTCGTTGATTTGTCACGTGACTGAACGGCGATATATGCCCTGAAAATCTAAAATCGCTGAATGGCCACGTGATCTTTATAAACCATTGTACATGGCAAATGTTAAAATATAATTAGCGAGAGAATATGTCCATCTAACAATCAATAAGATACACTTAGGAAAATGATTCAATGCTAATATCTTATAATGTCTCCAATAAATGTGTTTGGTAACGAAATTCATTTCAAGACAAGAAATAGCAAACTTGTTTTTATTGACGTACAACATATAACAATGGAGAGGTTAAGCAAATACGGTTTTTCAAAACGTATACGTAAACGCAAAGTACATTGAATCAACATAGGATTGTATCGCTTTAGTCTACTTCAGATACCCGTTCAACTTCAAAGTTGCGTGTTTAGAACGGGAGATTTTAAATTTTCACGTTGCTATCAACGGGAATCATTATACTCATGTCTGTTGAATACTATCCTTGGAATTTTGATTTCGATGCAAAGTATAATTCTTTCTGAAGAAGATGATGTATGTTACGCATGATTTAACTCCAATAATCTTACGAAACGAGCTCGTTTAAAATATGTATTAGAAAACCAGCTATTGAACTTCATCAATGGGATACTATGTAATCATTACAAGCTATGGTGTAGTCTAAACAAACACTAGAGCTGAACGGCTATTTATGTGTGAACTCTACATGTATTTGTATAGGGCCGATTGATACGTTTAAGTTGCGTTTTGGATTTTATACGGTAGCTTAACCTCTCCATTATCAAATATACCCTGTACATACGATGAGAACAACAACGCATAGGTCAGTATTAAAAAAGTAGCAGAGAAGGTCCATATAATTTTACTGGTCTTCTACTTGCCATTATCTAATATTTGTTAATTTTTCAGATCAACAAACTCGTGGCAACAAAAACCACTAGAAGTGGTAAGAAACAAATGCCAACGTTCAACAATCAACTGACAAAGACTTTTTATTTCTTCCCCGGACATGGATGCAAGGAATAGCTGAAATATAGGCTACGCATTTACGAGTTACTTACAGTCTTTCAGCTGAGCAAGCATGAATGAACATATTATGTAGATGTGAACATTGATAAGTTAAAGGATATTAAAATGGCCTATAATGATTTTTATCTTTGATGGGCCGCTCATGATCAGTAAAATAACGATTCCTCTGCACAACGGTGTCTAATCAAGATCATTCGATTACCTATGTCAGTCCTCCAAGACTGCCACCAAAGCGAACATCAGTTTTGACCTCGTGATCTACGTTCCTTGCACTCGAACCACGGTTCTCACTTTTCGAACATGAAATCTTCAGTCGCACACCACCATTCCTCATTCCCGAACACATTTCTCCAATCATGCACAGAGATCAGAAGACAAACTTTAAGATACACAAACAAAGTTGGTTGTGAAAACTATTTACTATCTTACTTGGCTAAGGTTTAAATCGAAGATACATTCCCTTATATGAAGCATATATATGTGTGTATATTAAGCAGGTGTAGTACAGAACAACAACGCAATTGTCATATTGAAAAGGTTCTATGTAACAGTTTGATCATATAGTATATATGTCACGTAGGCCTGTGTTTTACATTGGGACTAGATGTACTTTACAGTCGGACACATTAATAAACCTCAACGGTCAAAATTTGTCACAATGAGCTATATTCTAAGTTTCGTGTCTCAAACTCGCGCAATAAATGAATCCAAAGCTTCATACCCGCAAATGATGGATACATTTCTACCCAATCGAACGAATGTTTTCATGAATCGACATGTTTGTAATCCAGGAGAATTGACTCCCAGAATGCAACATCAGTTAACCTTATTTACTCATGACAGGTTTCAAAATGGCGAACACATATTGCATTCTGGGAGCCAATCCTTGCGGGAGCCAATCGGGCTTCAGAATCACCTCAACATTTGAAGAGTCGGCATTAAATTTTTAAGTTCCTATTTGTCATTAAAGATTCTCGCAATCTTTATCCAATCAGCGTTTGCGATGTGTACCAACTCACATATAAAAAGCGAATCCAACTCAAATCCATGCAGGGGTGTATGAGGTACTCGAATAGGAAAGAGCTCGTGAAATCTGAATTTATATGCACATGGTCAATGTTTACACATGTTTGGAGTTATTGAAGAAAATGTGATATGGGTGTGGTTCCGGATTTGAAGTCATTGCTGGAAAATATGATTTAAATACGTGAAATTATATCTATAAATGCATCACTAAAAATAACAGTGCACATGAAGTACATGTATGATTGTGTCCAGAAATGTTTGAAACCCTTACGGAAAATTCTGTCTGCATTTTGCCACCATTGCTCTTTCTTCCCGCATTCTAGTGCTGTTTGAATGAATATTTTAATAAATGTATTTCTAACTAAAATATATCACATTTTTTTATAAACCACAAACATTTAGATCATAAAAAAATTATTCAATACTTGAGTGAGCACGATATGCAAGGGTTACTAAGTTGACACAGTAAATGACCAATGATATTGTGTTAGTCTATGCACACAGCGCAGCGTATTCTGCTAATTCCATTTGCTAACACCCCCCACTTTCATAGTGAAGTGACTAACTAAATTTTGATCGAATATGTGAGACACTTTAAGGACACAGATTCACTATATTTGTACGTTCCGAGACGGAGAAAATAGAGCACTCAATTCACTAAGGTAAGAATTTATGACATATGTGACAGAATGTCTTTTTATTCATAGTGTTAGTTATTATTTATGTTCACAACTTTACTTGTTTACATGAACGTAAAACATTGCATTATGAAAACTGCAGTCTTTCTCTGGGTTCTTATAGTCGCATTAGGGCTTTCTGACTTTAAAACAAATCCTTACTTAACATGAATGATCGAATGATCTTGATCATTATGGTGCAGAGAATCGTAAGTTTCATGAGTGGCTTTAAATAATAATAGACTACCTTAACCACAAGAAAACATCGACTATGTACATACTTATCATATCATATCCATGACATGTATTTGTTTTATCAACAAAAATCATTGCATTGCACTATAAGTATTCTCATGGAATTTAATAATTGAGGAGATGGTCCAATAGGTTGATAATTACTTAAAGAAATGAAGAAACGTTATTTCTCTTCTAAAATACACAAACAGTTTAGTAATAATGATCTGTTGGATTATGCATTGACTTAAACATGCAGTTTGATTTTGAAAGTTAAGGTTACGTTTAATGTCTAATGTATCACTTCATTAGACCACCCTGTAAAAATAAAGAAATATAAAACATATTGGAGAAATATTGTTTAAATGCCAGGGACAAGTTACAGAAATCTACTTGAACCTAAATTGTTGACAATGGCTTTGCAATCTGTGTATCAAGCATTGTATTATTTCAATAAACCAACTCATAGACCGTATTTGTTCGATGCCGAAACGACGCCGAATTATATTGCCTGTGCACCCCTAAAATGAAATGTGATTTTCGACGCCGTTTTGAATCCTCAAAATGCGTATGTTGTTTTTCTAAGACTTCCCCTATGGGCAAATAAGATATGTATATGAAACATTGATTGTCAATTCAGAATTATATTTGAAACTATAACGTTACCCAATTACCCCCCCCCCCCCCATCACACCAAACTAGTTCTCACCCGTTTTTGCCAGTCCTACGAAAACGTCGTAAAATGGGCTCAATCTGGCGGTGGTCGGGAAATATGTCTAAAATAATGAGCTACTTCGTTCATAAACAGTCTTCAATACGTCCATCTCATTCGCAGTTCGTTCAGGTCGCACCACGTCGGTGTGCAACGTCGTATAACGCGTCCCTTAGTCTAGAAGGTCATCATGACCTGATTACAGAACGGTATGGTCGCCATCGAATTTTGAACCGATTCAAAATTCTAAATCACATTCCCCGTCCGGGAAAGTCGATGAGGTTCGTAAACAGACCGTAGAACGTTGAAGCTGCGTTCATTCCGTTCGCACACAGTTTAAAACCAGTTTTGAAGAACGCAGGGGCAACTTGTTTGGTGTGATAGCTATATTTTTGCTAACTCGTTCAAAAGCAGTCTTAAATACGTTCTTAATCAGTTTAAACCCGTTTGCAATTAGTTCTACCTCGTTCTCAACACGTCCCCAGACAGTGCAACTCGTTGTTAAAACGTTCCTAGTAGGATTGAAGTACGACGTCCGTTCGTAGTACGTTTCTATAATAAATATTTAAATTTAAGCTCAAAATATCCTCATATACAAAAGTAAATATAGGGACTATATCGTTTACTTACGTTATTTAGGGTTTTAAGCCCTTGACTCAGTACAATGCGGAATGACCATTTCCTGAAGGTTTTGCTTCCCAAAATTTGCACGAGATGCGGAGTATCGAGTGTTAATTTTAGGAAACAACGCCTCAAAGGAACGATCATACAGTACACAATGCACTGAGTCTTTGGCTTAAATTCTTTGACACATTGCAAACTATTTTCTATATACTACTAGAAGGCACAATTACTCAGATGCGAGTAGGTAGTTCCCGGTTTCGCCGCCAGGTGGCTGATTCGGGGGGAATAACATGGCAGGGTAATACAAAATTTCCTTAAACTTGAATATTCATCAGTTGTAGTGGTTTACTTTTCATATTACCCTTATGTATCTGATAATTATACATATGAAAATATGTCCAGTATAAGAAAATATTAACTACCCAACACAAGAAAATATATTTCACTTTTTGTGAATTTACAACATGGGGGCTATGGGGAATCTCCCCGACCTATAAGTCAGATTCTCATAGTAGATTCAATTTTCAAAGTTGATTAACTCTTTTCCAAACCACATTTCTAGAAGTAATCTTACATGTAGATTCCAACTATGACATCAGTTTGACTGAATATTGAATTTTAAATTATGTAGATCAAGATTATTTCTGCTCGCATCTGGGATATTGGTATAATATAATGACTTAAAACAGATCTAGACTAAGCAAAAGTTTCGATTTTTATATGCAAAAACATTTCAAATACAAAGAGTGTAAGGGAAGTTTTAGGGCAGTTTTGCCCCATGTTCCCTTACGAGTATTAACGTTTACCTCTTATTTATTTTAGATACAAAATGTTACAAACTGGATACAAAAGGTACCATTTTGATGGACTTAATTTAATGGATTATGTAGTAAACAATATACAATATAATGAACACTATATTATCATCAAAACTACTTTTCCTTTTGATCTGAAAAGGTCAAGTATTTGTAAAAGCTGCTTTCCACAAAATAAGGACTTGAAAAACAATACAGAAATCAGCAATAATAGCTCTGTGATTGAGCCCCCCGCTATTTGCTTGTGAATGCTGGAGTGTTATTAAAAAAAATTCATGAGAAAAATTGTTGAAATCTAATAATGTTGGTAGTTCGGCTTATTTTATATTGTAAATTCACATTGAATTTTAGCATATTCTATTTCACTCAAGTGTAAACATTTAGTCGTGCTTTCTAGATTTAGATCTACTGTCCTACATGTATGGATTGTGAATCCTACAGTCCTCATGGTCATGGCCTCAATCAATTGCCAATAGGACTGCCATTCTAACCGTTTGACTATAATCACCAATGGACTTCTATTCCTTCCAAACCAGTGTATTTTTTTTTATTATTTATTTATTAATTATCCTCATTCATTACATAACATTTACAAAATCTTCAATCGCCAAATACATGCATGGCATTATAGAAGAATTGATGAAACTTAATGAAATATAATATAAGGAGCAATGTTAACAGTAGTTTTGGGGTTGTGGGGGGGGGGTGCTTGGCATGGGAAACAGTTAATGGAGATAAAAGATGTTTAAGGAGGGAAAATCATATATTGGCTTTTATAAAGGAAGCTAGCCTGGTCATCATTTTCGAATTTAGTTCGATAGAGATTTCAGTTGAGCCATATTTCAGAACTTCAAGGTATTTATGCTGAGAGATTTGCCTGTCAAAAATTTCAGGGATCAGGTTTTTCAGGTATTGATTAAATTCATCCCTAGCATGTGTCAAATGAGCACAGTGGAAAAAGAAGTGTTTAACTGTTTGTGGATGTCCACATGAACAGTTTGGGTTGTCAATATTGCTAAAGTTATGAGCATATAGTTGGGCCTTAAATAAAAAGTCGGCCCTGAATTTATTTACTATTATCTCATGGCTCCTTGTGAGGTTCAGTTTGCTGGTTGTAATGACATTTATTAGATTTTTGAAAAGCAGTTTTTGATGTTTCTTGAAATTCTGGATAGTAGCTTTACTCTTTAATGTATTTGGCAGGGCTAACCAGTTGGAGATTGCAGAGGGTACCGCTGAATTTCTGTACCGTTCAGAACATTTTGGTATAATGAACTCATCAGTGTTACGCAAGTTTCGAGTTTCTGGTTTTTTGAACTTTTCAAATATGTCATCAAGAAATTTAGGGTTAGGACCATGTACTATTTTGTACATAAAGTTGTTTATAAACATTTTTCTTCTAGTGTCAAGAGATGGCCATTGAAGTAACGTTAGTACTTTATCTATGCTGCTCCCGTGAATACAACCTGAGCAGTAGATAGCAGCTTTATAATATAATCTATCGAGCCTTTGAAGTAGATATTTGGAAGAACTATTGTAAACGATGGTACCATAATCAAAATGGGGCAATATGAAGGAGTTGAAGATTGTCTCCAAATGACTAGATCCTATTTTGTTTTTGAGTTTTTTAAATGGATTCAACATTTTTGTTACGTTATCATAGATGGTACTAATATGGTGCTTGTGTGTTAAGCAGGGATCAAACGTGAAACCGAGGTGTTTATGGGAATCAACTCTTACTATTTCCATATTATTAAGATTAGATGGACTGATATCATTAATACGTGTTCTAGGTTTATGAAATATCAGTTCATGACTTTTTTCTGGTTTAAACTGTAGTTTCCAAGTAGTTGACCATTGTTCAATGCTTTCTAGGCTTCACTTAACAGAATCATCAACATTAGTAGGGTCTTTTGGATCAAGTTTAAAATGTAAAGAGGTATCATCAGCATAGATGTAGCACTGGCCACCCAGGTTGTCAGGGATATCATTAATGTACAAGATAAATAGAATAGGCCCTAGAATAGACCCCTGTGGAACGCCACAGTTAATAAAATTAGCATCAGAAAGTTTTGAAGATTCGCCACCTACATTTACAGAGAATTTTCTGTCATTCAGATAGGATTTGAGAACATTGAGCAGTTGACCTTGGATACCGTAAGATTGAAGTTTAAGCAATAGAAGATTATGTGGTACGCAATCAAAAGCGGCCGAAATATCAAGAAATATTGATTTAGAGGCTTTGCCTTCCTCGAAAGTGCATTGCAGGTAGTGCTCAATAGCTAGAAGTTGAGAGTGTGTACTGTGGCCAGGCAGGAAACCAGATTGATGTTTAAAAAGTAAATCATTTTGTATAAGATGTTTTTTAATTCGATCAGCAAGAACTTTTTCAAAGAGCTTTGATAGGGTATTTAGGAGCATAATTGGTCTATAATTTTTTATATTTGTCTTATCATCTTTTTTAAAAATTGGACAGACACTACCAATTTTCCATGTTTCCGGGAAAATATTTTTTGTCAAAAGCTTATTGAATAATTTAGAGAGTGGTTTTGAAAGTGTATGGGCTGTTAAGTTTAACATTTTATTGGTTATGTTATCAG